TGGAAAAATACATCAACCGTTTAATCTTCATGTCAAGGAGGTAAATAAAGGGAGATGGTGGTACAGTGATAATGTTACTGGATTAGCAATCTAGAGACTCAGGTTAATGCTTTTGGGTTCAAATCCCACCACAACAGCTGGTAGCACTTAAGTTCAATTAATAAATCTTGAATATTAAACTAGTCTCTGGTGACAATGAGGCTGTATTTGATTGTTGTAGAAACCCATCTGGTTCACCAACATGCTTTGGGGAAGGAAATCTACCATAATTACCAGGTTTGGGCTACATATGACTGCAGTCCCGCAGCAATGTAGAAGCCTCTTAATTACTTTCTAAATTGGCCTAGTAAGCCTCTCAATTCAAGGGCAATTAGGAATAGCAAATATTGAACTTGCCAGCAACACCCATATCATTTGAAAGAATAAAAAATAATTTTTAGAATGAAGAAGATTAAGTTAAAGCTATTTGGTTAAGCCACCTGCTTGCATTGGGTTAATGTAAGACCATGAGACAGTGCTTCCTAAACATTTTCCCACCGTGATCTAATTTCAAGACTTTAAAGTTCTTGCAAACCCTAGGGTGAACCAAGAGCCTGTTCAAGCAGGAACAGAACTGGTCTAATTTAATTGGAGCTCCAAGTCGACCACTGAAACTTGTGAGCTCAAAATCCCAAAGTTTTAGTTGGCAACTCCACTTGGGGCCTGGGCCCACACCTAGGGAAGACCTGACATAAGATAGGAAAGCAGGATTTGGCCTTTCAAGCCTGCACTGCTATTCAGTGTGATCTTTACCTCAACTTCACCCTTCTTTGTGGGAGAGGTGGTGAAACATAATGGTATTGTACTGGAATAGTAATCCAGAACCCACGCTATCAGTCTGAGGACATGGGCTCAGATCACAAATTGCCAGATGGGGGAAAGTTGAATTCAATAAAAATCTGGAATTAAACAAAAAAAACTGCCTAACGGTGACCATTTAACCACAGCCTATTATAGTAAATACCAGTAAGATCATAAGAAATAGGAACAGCAGTTGACCTGTCGGCCCCTCAAACCAGCTCCACCATTCACTAGGATCATGACTGATCCGACACTCCTCATATCCACTTCCGTGCCCCTTCCCTGTAACCTTTGATTCACATACTGATCAAGAATCTATCTCAGCATTAAATATACACGAGAACTCTGCCCCCACAGGTCACTGTGGCAAGGAGTTACAAAGACTCTTAACCCACAGAGAAGAAATTCCTCCTCATCTCAATCTGAAATTGGTGCCCCTTTGTTCTGCGACAATGCCCTCTGGTCCTAAATTCTCCCATGAGGAGGAACATCCTTTCAGCATTTACACTGACAAGACAGAGTCATACAACATGGGAACAGACCCTTCAGTCCAACAAGTCCACACTGACGATGTTCCCAAACTAAACTAGACCCAATGGCCTGCATTTGGCCCATCTCACTCCAAACCATTCCTAGTCATGTACTTATCCAAATGTCTTTTAAATGTACCTGCATCCACCACTTCCTCTGGCAGTTCATTCCACACACTAACCATTCTCTATGTAAAAAAACAGTTGCCCCTTGTGGCCTTTTTAAACTTTTTCTCCTCTCAGCTTAAAAATATGCCCCCTAGTTTTGACTCCCCAAACTTAGTGAAAAGACCTTTGCTACTTACCTTATCTATGGGTCTCATGATTTTATAAACCTGTAAAAATTTGTCCCTCAACCTCCTATGCTCCAGTGAAAGAAGTCCCAGCCTGTTTTTATAACTCAAACAATTCATTCCCAGCAACATCAAGGTAAATCTTTTCTGAACACTTTCTAGTTTAATAATATCCTTCCTATAACAGGGCAACCAGAACTGCACACAGTACTCCAGAAGAGGACTCACCAGTGTCCTGTACAACCTCAACATGATGTCCCAACTCCGAAACTCAAAAGTCATACATTTCAATGAGCTCACTTCTCTTTGTTCTAAACTTCATGGAGTAGAGTTCCAACCCACGAAGCCTCTGCTCATGAAACAATCCCTCCATACTTGGGATCATCCTCGTGAACCTTCTCTGAACCACCTCTAATGTAATGATTTCTTTCCTTAAATAATGGGTCCAAAACTGCTCACAGTACTCCAGATGTAGTCTCACCAGTACCTTGTATAACTGCAGCAAGTCTTCCATACTTTTGTACTCCAATCTCCTGAAATAAGGGGGCCAACACTCCATTAGCCTTCCTGATTACCTTCTGTACCTGTTAGCTTTCTGTGTTTTTTGCACAAGTACCCCCAAGTCCCTTTGTATTATAGTTTTTCCCTATTTAAATAACACCCTTCTTTTGTTCTCCCTTCAAAAATGAACTCCCACATTATACTCCATTTGCCAACTTTTTGCCCAATTACTTAAACTATCAAAATCTCTCTGTAAACTGTTTTTATCCCTCTCACAACTTGCCTTTCCATCTATTTTTGTGTCATCTGCAAGTTTGGCTACAGTACATTCGCTTCCTTAAAGTCATTAATTATTGTAAACAGTAGCAGTCCCAGTACTGATTGTTGAAGAACCCCACTGATTATAGATTACCATCCTGAAAAAGAACCCCTTCGCCCCACTCGCAGTTTACCGATCACATTCTCTATCTACACCATTCTAGTGCCTCCAACATTGTGGTGTCTTATCTTATGACTTAACATTTTGTGAGGTACCTTGTTGAACATCTTCTGGAAGTCCAAATACAACACACATACCGGTTCCTCTCTATTCACTCTGGCTGAGACTTTCCCAAAAACCTCAAATAAATTAGTCAGATTGATTTCCCTTTCATGAAGCTATGTTATCTCTGCTTGATTTGATTTTGGTTACCTACTTTGTGTCTCCCTTCCTTTTTGAATAGGGCTGTCATTGGCAGTTTTCTACACCTCTGGTACTACTCCAGAATCTAGGGATTTTTGTAAAATTACAACCAATGCATCCTCTAGCTCTGTAGCTACTTCTTTTAGGATCCTGGGATGCAGGCCATCAGAGCCAGGGGACTTGTCTGCTTGGCCTGCTGTGTTCATCCAGCTCTACACCTTGTTATCTCAAAAGATTTCATTTTTGTTTAGGAGTAGGGATGATAATAGGAAGGGAGGAATTGAGGGAAGTTGGTGGGTAAGAGAAGGAGGGGTGACCTTTTTGAGGTGTATAAAATCATGAGGGGCATAGATAGGATGAACACATATAGCCTTTTTCCCAGGAATAGGGAATTGAAAACTAGAGGGCACAAGTTTAAGGTGAGAGGGGAAAGATTTAAGAAGGACCAGTGCAGCAACTTCTTCATGCGCAGAACGATATGTATATGGAATGGGCTGCCAGAGAAAGTGGTTGAGGCAGGTCCAATAGCAACATTTAATTGTTGGGAAAGGTTTAGAGGGATATGGACCAAGTGCAGGCATTTGGAACTAGCTGAGTGAACACAATGGTCAGCATAGACCAGTTTGGGCCAAAGGGCCTGTTTCCATGCTTTATTACTCTATTCTATGACTTTACCCATCTGGTTCACTTCTGGTCAGTATATTGACCAAAATTACTCAATCACTTAGAGGTAAAGAAAATCATAAGTGCTGGTAAGTTGAAGAAAGAAGAAATGGAAACTGAGTTCTGATGAATGGTTACATCAGAATGTTAACCTGCCTGTCTTCTTTAGCTGATAATCAAAATTCCAACAGTTCTTTCTTACAATGGGGAAGGAAGATTATTTTGCCATTTCCCAGCTTTTGTGAATCGTAGTTTCAAGGTTCAGTGTAATGCTGATGGAGTACACAATTGTTACAGATGCTGTCTTGCCAATGAGATGTTGAACTGAAGCACCATGTCCCTTCAGGCGGATGTAACAGGTCCCTTGGCACTATTTGAAGAAGGGAAAGTTCTACAAGTTACCTAGCTAACATTCTTTCCTCAGTGACAACCAAAAACAAGGCATCTGGTTATTTATCTCATTTGCGGTTTATCCGCCCTTGCCATATGCAAATTGGTGCTTTTGTTTACTAACGTAACTGGTGGCGGAGAAAAAAAAAGAATCTATTATGTCATGACTCAATGGGTAGCATGCTGGAAATCAAACGTTGCAATTCCCAGATTCATCACAAAAGTTGAAGATTTTAAAGTAAGGGCACAAAATTCCCTAATTTTCAAAAACAGTTTCTTAGAAAGTGCAGACAAGCTTTTTGCACTTAGCAAGAATTGCTATTCATTACATGTAATATGGGTACAGGTAAACAGTTATATACCGCCAGCATAACACTACTGATTAAAACTCTAACCTGCCTATGAACTCCTCCTTACACATACACACAGACATACAGACATGGAAAAAACACATGAAGAAAGGGGAAAAACTGGAAAGACAATCCAGTAGTCTTTGTCTACAAATTCTCTCAAGCTGGTTCTTGCTGATCCGAAAGTTTCCTCCTGGCTTCCATTTTCTGATTGTTTCCACTAGTTCGCTGAAGGCACAGAGTGGCTAGTTCACTTGTAAAATGTCTCTGATTTATCAAAAGTCACAACTTAGAACAATTGCTAAAGGTAAGATTAACTTTTTTTTTCAAGTTTCAAGTGAGATTTGATTTTTCAGAACAGAGACACAGCACCCGAGATGGAGGAGATCAAAACTCTTCTCTATAACTTATTCCAAATCCAAGCGATATAGTTAACAGAGACTCAATCACATGACTGTTGGCAATCAAAGTTCCCTTATTATCAGTAACTAATCACTAGTCCTTAGACCAATCAACTTCTTATTGCTACTGAGTTGCATCTGTAGAAAGAATGTTTTGGCTCCAATTTGTCTATAACCATTTCAATTACTGCCTGCTTAAACAGCTGTATAAATACAATGCTTGCCATGGGCATTAGGTTTCCTACTTTCGAACCATGCACCAATCCTTTCAAAACACTGGTTTTAAAACAGTTCTGTCTAATTTCAGGTCACAATTAAAAAAAAAAACGCAAAATAGAAAGACACAGTCCTTACAACAATGAAAGTAATTCTTTAGTTGCAACATAGTTTTAGACATTTCTCAGATATATTGGGGTGCCATAAATTCAGGTGCTTGTGCAATATTAAAAAAAATTCTGTATGCCTTGCATTTGTTACAAATGGCTGTTTATTTTTAAACTTACAAAAATAATTATTATAAATCCAACCTTTAAATTGCCTTAAATGCATATCAAATCTTAACAACATAGTTAAAAAGTAGTTAGGGGTAAATTTGGATCAGGCATGAACAGACTTCCCATGTTATTGAATCCTATTAGCTTATTAGGAACAACCTTATAATATCTACCAATTATGAAGCAACAACAGTCTTTCTCCAGGCATTCAAATTCCTTAGAAACAGAAGGTACAATCATATAAAATATTGACAGGCTGTGTGATGCTTTCAGACTAAGACAATCTACATGGTTAGAAATTCCAACTTGAAGCCATTGTTACCATCACATAGCCCAATGCATTGCTAAAGGAAAATTTACTGTGTGCACCTAATACTGCAAATGTGCTTATAATCAAAGTATTTGCAATTCCATTACACTGAGCGTACAGATAACATTATCATCCAACTATCTTAAAACAAAAGTCATAAGACCACACCACAAAACATCAACATCCCAATGGTCTCAGTAAGTGTGTGTTTATATCTCAAGTTTACTTAAAAACATTCTCAAATTGTCAATGTCAATTGAAAGAAATATGGAAAAATAATTTCCTGGGCTCTTTGGGAAGCAACGTTGTCAAAACATTTCCTCCAGTCACTGTTTCTGCCAAGATTATTAACAGGTTCTAAAAAAATACCTTCTTAAAGAAATACACAATCTGATTTGAAAAGCAATCTTATGATAATATGAAGAAAATGGACATTAATACTAAAGGACTGAGGCAAAGCTTCATCTGTCTTGAAAACAGTTTTAAATCATGTTCAATCATTGTCAGAAATGGGATGCAAAGGTTTTACTCTGGCTAATCGAGACAGGCCTAACCGAAGGCCTTGACATGGACTTCTGACAGAAGTTTGTTCCCGTGGGTTACCACTGCTTTCTTTAGGGGCTGTAAGAGAAGATCAAAATTTTCCCTGTTTTAAAGTGTAAAAACAGAAATGGTTGAAAGCAAAATGATAAAAGTATTTCAATCCTTAGGCTTTCCAATTTTAAAACAGAATATTATTTAATAGTATTTTTGACATAGAAATTCATGACCTCCATCTTTGCTTGATACAGTACACAGGCAAAAACAAAATATGCAATATGTCTCATTGAATACAGGACTGACTGATCCAATGAAATTGTGCTGAAAAAGGGTTTGCCACTATTCTAGCATTCAGTATTTGTGGGACACTTAAGTACTTTGAACTGTTTAAATCAGTAGATGAGAACTTTAGTGAGCTAAGTAAGGACCTGTTAGCTCTTGCAGTCAGAAAGATTACAGTAAAGGATTACGGAATATAAATAGCTTAACCCTCTGAGATAACAAAGAGAATGCATTTTTTTCTTTCAAAGAGTTGCACAACACTCATACAAACTATACAATACAAACATTGCATTTTTCTTATTTAATTTCTCTGCACTTAAGGATATAAAAGATATTCGTACACATACGGTCAACTTTTTCCATTATAAATTCCTCTCCTGTCAATTTTAAAGGGAACTGAATATATCACATTCCTCAGGAACAACAGTGTTATCAAGTTTTAGATTGTATTTTCTAGCTTCTCAGAGTGAGCTAAAGAGAAACTCTTTTGCTGCAAGTTTTCAGAATGTGCCACAGTAATGATTGGAACCGAGTAGATCTTTTGACTGTGAGATCTTTGATTAGGATACTTAACCTGGGCCAATCAGGAAGCATTGGCTGACCAATACTAACAGGAGATTTAGAATCTCCTCAGTTCAGGGGGCTGACTCTGAGCTGGCTGGCCCAGCCAGTGTACTGTGCAAAAGTAAATAAAAGGTGGCTTGGTGACAGGATAGCGGCCTCTGTACAGTCATTTCAGCCACATTGTCACATCTTTTGCTATTTAACCGGCAGTTGATAAGATAAACATTTTATTTTTGCAAATCTAATTTTCTTTGTAGTTAATATTAACTGAAATGTATAATTTATATTCAGAAGTCTGCAGCTGTAAGAAAACTTTTAACATGGACTTCAGTGGAAGAGCAATTAGATTTTGTAATTAAAGCAGCAGCTGAAACTAGTTCCTCTGTAACTGGGTCAGCCATGCCCCCTTGTGTGAGGAACATAAAACTAGCCAATTTAGTGTGACTTACAGTAGATGCTCGGAATTGAAGAGGAAGGAAAGGAGGTTCTCCTTTGTTTTTACTTTACTAAGTTGTTCAGCTTTTAGGAATCGATTCTTACTCTGCTACAAAAGAAGCTAGTTCTTTGATAATGATCTAATAAGTGACTAAGATTTATTCTATTTATAACATTCAAAATAGTGTAGCAACTAGTGATAAGTTAATAAAATATATACAAAGGTAGACAAATAATGGAATAAATTAGTTACTTAGAACATATTAAAAATAGGTGATGTGTCAAAGCTACAGTATGTAGGAGCTCCTGGATGCCAATGTGATCCAGGGCTAATATGTCAACATAAGTGTTGAAGTATGAACAGCTTCTGCTCAGAAATTTTGAGTTGGAGGCTGAATTACACAAGCACTAAGATATATTTGGGATAGGGAGGTTATCTGGATTCTTTGCATCAGGAAGCAGTCTATTACTTAGGATAGGGTTTTCTGATTTGGTCACTGTTCAGGGACAGAGGTGTTGACTCCAAGTGAGACAGATAAGAGAACCCAGAGGGAAGAAGGATAGGAGCCTGAACCTTTGCAATGGAGCAAGGTGTATGAGGTTATTGGAGTTCTTTGAGGAAGTAACATGCTGTGAATCAAGCAGAACCAGTAAATGTACTGTAATTGGATTTCCAGAATTCATTTGATAAGGTGCCACATCAAAGGTTATTCCGAAAAATAAAAGATCATGGTGTTGGGAGTAATAATATTGGCATGGATAAAAGTTTGGCAAGCTGACAGGAAACAGAAAGTAGTCATAAATGAGTCATTTATTAGTAAGTAAGATTAATGAACACTGTGCTACAAGGATCAGTGCTGCGAACTCAATATTTTGCAATTTATATAAATAATATGGATGAAAGGACAAAAACTATGGTTGATAAATTTGATGATGATACAAAGACAGGTAGGAAAGAAAGTTGTGAAGAGGACATAAGGAAGCTACGAAGGAATACAAATAAGTTAAATGAGTTGAGCAAAGATCTGGGAAATTGAGTAAACTGTGGCAGGAACAATAAAAAAGCATAATATCAAAATAGTGAGAGATTGCGAGCTCTGAGATGCAAAGGAATCTGTGACCTAGTAAAAGAATCACAAAAGGTTAGTATGTAGGTACAGCAAGGAATCAGGAAAGCTAACAGAATGTTGTCATTTATTACAAGATGAACTGAATACAATAGCAAGAAGGTTACGCTTCAGTTATACAGGCCACTGGTGAGACCACATGCAGATTACTCTGTACAGTATTGGTCTCCTTATTTAGGAAGGTTGTAAATGCATTGGAAGCAGTTCATAGAAGGTGAACGAGATTAATAGCTGGAATGAGTGGGTTGTCTTGTGAGGACAGGTTGGACAGACTAGATTTGTACCCTCTGGAGTCAATACAGTGTGGAGCTGGAGGAACACTGCGGGTCAAGCAGCATCAGAGGAGCAAGAAAGTCGACGTTTCATGTCACCAGTCCTGATGAAGGGTGTAAACCCGAAACGTCAACTTTCCTGCTCATCTGATGCTGCCTGACGTGCTGTGTTCCTGCAGCTCCACACTGTATTGACTCTGAGTCCAGCATCTACAGTTCTTGCTATCTCCTTTGTACTTTCTGGAACTTGGGTGAGTAAGCAAAGACTTGACTGAAATATTGAGATCCTGAGGGGTCTTGACAAGGTACAAGTAGTAAGGATGTTTCTGTCTGTGAGAGATTCTTGAACAGTAGGCCACAGTTTGAACATAAGCGGACAACACATTTAAGACAGTGATGAGAATTCTTTTCTAACAGAGGCTGGCATGTCTGTGAACTCTCTACCTCAAAAGGCTGTGGAAGCGGAGTTCTTGAATATTTAAAAAAGAGGTAGATAGATTCTTGATAAGTAAGGGGGTGAAAGGTTAATGGTGGTAGGTGAGAATATATATTGATCGTATCAGTCATGATTTTGTTTAATGGCAGATCCAAATTGAGGGGCCAAATGGCCTACCTTCTTGCTTCTTATCTGTGTGTTAATAAGTTTTAGAAAAAGCTAGAGTGAAGTCATTGGAAATGGTGCAAAAAAAAAATTCATAAGAATGGTTCTCAAGAAAAGGAATTTAAGTTATGTCGATAAAATGGAGAAGCTCAGGCTGTTTTATTTAGAGAAGATTGGGAAGCAATTTGATAGAGGCATTCTACGCTATGACAGGTTGAGAAAGAGCAGATGAAGAAAATATGGGAATTGCGTTTGCATGGCAAAAGGTTTTAACGAAGAGGACACCAATTTAAGGTGATTGGCAAAAAAAAATGTCATGAGGAAAATGTCTAATGCACCTTGTAGTTTGCAGCTGGAATGTACTGCCTGAAGGTGTGTGGAGGCAGAATCCATTGTGACCTTATAAAGGAAATTAGACAAAGCACCAGAGGAAAGAAATTTTGCATGTTATAGGGAAATGGTAGGAGAGTGGGTCTAACAGAGTTGTCCATGCAGCAATATGACATGGACATGACAGGATAGAATGGCCTCATTCTGTCCTGTAACCATCCTATGATTCTGATAGAAATTAAATTATCCTCATCACTGCAATACCAAAATAAATGTTAATTGTACATAATTATTCTAACTTCACCAATTTTGAATTTTTGGTTGAGAGTCAAGTTTGTCACTTGAAAATTCCTAATGTTACTTATTTCCCTTGAGAGGCTGTCAAAGTTATTAAAATCTTGAATAAAAGTTAAAGGTAAATGGATTCAAAATTGATCTCATTATACATGTGTTTCTAGACATAATTTAGAAATTAAAATCTGTTTTTTGGATAACAGACATATACCTGGTGGAGTCCACTTTGGTTTTTTGATTCCAGTGGAAAGACATGATTCCTGTAACGATTTAGAAGGTGGCAGAGAAGCTGGCATCTCTTCCAATAATAAAGGCTTGCTTTTTACCGGAACCACAGCTACAGGGGATAATGTTAAAATATTATAAGTTCCACTGTCCCCTTTTGTTGTTATCCTTTGGAATCATACAATCAGATCACAGAAGTGCACAAAACAGCACTAAATACTGCTGCTTTCTGTCACTGTAAAGAAGTGGCTGATCCATGTAGAATATACCTGCAATAACATAACTGAAGTTGGTAACTCTATGTAGTAGAGCAGCAAAAATGAACTTCAAACAAACCGCTTTGTGCAGTACATCAAAACCCCGAAAGGGGGATGGTGATTAGAATTAGAAGAACTGATGTTAAAATTTCAAAAAGGGTTCTCTTCTCTAACACACATTTCTCAACACATCAATCAAGGCGTTTCCTTTCAAGACTTCTTTTATACCCTTAAGTATACCACCAGAAAGTTCAGGAACAACAAAGATTGACTTGCTTTTTAAGCGTCCTCGCTTATTATCTGTAAAGTATTCTACATTTCACTAGGACTCCTAACTCAAGATGCATATGATTTATTCTTGGGAGTATTTGGGAAGACATCAAATCCGACAAGTGTTCTAACACATGAGGAAGTTTACTTTCATTCAGCAGGTTTGCAGTTTGTTCCCTACTCCATAGAAGTGCTCAAACATTTAAATGGAACAAATAACATACATAAAAGATGTTTGAAGAAATCAGCCAAATTTTCCATTACATATTCTAAATATGGTTATATCAGTCAGGCACAATTTCTAAATGTCTCCTTTTATCTATACTTTTAGCCATTACTTAGTAGTTTGCATGCCATTACAAATATAACTTTGATGGAATGAACTAATTGAGCACATGGTCTTCTGTCTATATAGTATAAGTGGCACACTCTAAAATTAGGGTAAATGTGGGATTTACAAGTTGTATTTCTGCAGTCCCAAATATCAGAATGCAGTTTTTAAGGATTTATTACTAACTTCTAAACTATTAATTTTGCAATAAGGTATTCAACGTTTTTGCTTTTTTAAAAATAAATCTGCATTTTACTTAACCCTAAAATGTAATTAAATAGTTTCAGTTAGAAGTGAAGAGTTTTTAAAATCTTAATAGTTTTGACAGGAAACTAATACATCAAGTCTGAAAATTTTTAAAAGAAATTGACTGTAACAAATAAATTTTGCTTCATTTTTGCTAAACGTCATTGAAGCAATTAAACAGAGTGCTCCAAATAAATGGGATATCTCTGATAGCCTCAAGAAAAATGTTGCACTTCATACTGGAAGTCTGTTAATTATTGCTCATGTACAAATATTCCATAATCATTCCACTGTTAACTGCATTACAGAATTCACAATGACCTTGCTCTCTAATTTACAACACGAGTTTTGTTAAACACAATTATTTGCAATGGTCAGAGAACCTACCTGTAGGAATGTTGTCAAGTTTCAGAGATTTTTTCTCTTTCTTCTTGGTTTGTGTTTTAATTTTATCCTTTTTCTTATTTTTATTTGACATATTTTTAAAAGTAAATTCCTCATCCTCATCTGTACTATTTTCACTGCTTTCTGATTCTTCAGCTACAAAAAAAAACACAGTTGAAAATCTAGAAATATATGAAACACAATCAACAAAGCAAATAGCCAAAATAATACTTCATTGTTCCATTTTTACTCTCAGCCTTTTTGCAGACTATAAATGCATGGCATTTTAATTGAGAATGGGATCACTTGGTATATTCCTGTTCATCAGAACTGTCTGTTCTAACCCCAGTTCCCTGCTCTATCACTATGTGCTTTACCACTTTGTCAATTGTTTACCCAATTCCCTTTTCAACATTGATCATCACATGACTATTGAAGCCAAGTCAATGCATTCCATCACTACTTCATCCACTTGTCTTTTTGTATTAAATCTTACATTTAAAGTTCTGTGTTTCCACTTTTAAATCTCTCTGTTACTTCAGTGAATTTCTGTTCAGAATGCCACATTTTCTTTTTCCCTTAAAATTGCCAGAATTGAAATGCATTCACCACATATCTGTCCATACCCTTGCTGCATTTCTTGTTTTCTTTATGCAAACTCACCAATCGCTGAAGGAATGGTCAAATATAAGTATACTTTATTTATTTGAAGACTAAAATAAATATACGTACAGAATAACTCAACGAATGGATCTACTGTAGGGATTCAACAACCATCTTTACTCAGAAACAGCTACACTCATGCAACTGAATGTTGGTCACATGCCACTTCGCTGTACAAGTACACCATCTGCTTATTCACTTAATGTGACACCCCCAACAACTCTATCCTCTCTCTATCTTCCTGAAGTTTCTTGTATTTTCCTTGGTTTGTCGTGACACTAGATTGGTATTTTCAGTAAATGTCAACATCTTCCCATCATGTTCAAATTATTTGTGTATAACAGTAGAAGTTCCAACAATAACTTTTTCAGAACAAGTAAAAAACTGAAATTCATGTTTTCAATGCAATTTTGCAAATGCCAACACCTTGATTTAAGAACATTTTCACAGGATGTGTTTTCACTGGGGCAGAAACACAAAATAGGTCAGGTAGTTAGCTCACAACCTTGCCACTCATCCCCAAGATGACCCACGTTATACAGGGGACTGACTACTGCCAAAATCAGCAGCCTGCCATATTTTTATACATATACATATACATATATATATATATCTAATATTTAAATAAATAATGATTTAACATGTTCAATTCACCCCAATATTATGTTGCCAAAATCATAAAACAGTTGGCATACACAACCAGGCAGGAGTGGAGTGGGCAGCTTATTTATTAAGAAAAGTTTTTAAAAGGGCAGGAAGAAAAATAGGTACTATCTTCAGAGGTGCTCTTTGTCCCTCCCCTTTCCTTCATCCATGCTTGGATTTTACAACCCACTTTACCCTGCCTTGCCTCAGATCTCAAACTCTCCCTGTCCAATTGGCCTGATTTACCTGGGTCCAAAATTCATCCACTGGGGCTACCTGCAGTTCTGGCAACATCCACTATTGTACTTTAATGCTGCTGGGACTGCAAGAGCTGTCTTGTAATCTGATTGAACAGTCCACCTTAACCATATAATGTTGCCCAGAGATTGTCACAATACAGCTAGTGTGTGAAGGGTACAATGTCTGGAAATAAAACGCAGTAAAGAAAGCCATGCCAAACTGCTTTAAGTGTGTTCTAAAATTCAATTTATTCTTGTGTGGCTATTTCCTGTTTGAGTATTTCCAGACCACAAAATCCCTTGCTATAAAATTTGCAGCTGTTATGCTACCCACACAGTTTTCTGAAACAGCTTATTCGTTTAGATAAAGTTTATGGTACTTACACACAGTGTTGTCACATCACATGGTCTTGTCATATGCCAAAAGGCAACAAGACTAACGTCATATAAAACAGTTATGGTGAAAGGTCAGAAATTATTTTTCATAGTCTAACGAAATAGATTTAGTTAAAGGATACAAGAACATGAGAAATGGAAGGTGTAGTAAGCCAAATGGCTCATCAAGCCTGCTCTATCACCAAATAAAATTATGACTGATCATCAATCTCACCCCCACTTTTCCCACCTGATCCCCACATCCCTTGGTACTCAAAGAATTTAAAAAAAAACCATCACTCACAACGTTGACACACTCAACAACTGAGCATCCTCAGTCCTCTAGGGTAAAGAATTTCAAAGATTCACAACAATTCTTGGATTGGTCTGGCAGGGCTCTCGTAGTACAGTATAGTCCAGGCAGAGTGTGCTGCATGATCCTTGCACGCTGTGCTTATACAACTGGAGTAGGAAAAGAGGGCATGGGATGGGCACTGAAATGTTGAGAGAAGAGCAGCAGTCTTTTGAGGAGGAAGATAAGGACAACAAGCAGGAGAAACCTCATCTGTAGCATGATTGAGCAGTGCGCCAGCAGGAGAAACAAGCTAAGCAGGGTTATCTGATACATGGATTGAATAGATATGAGTTGGGTGAGTTAGCTGATAGAGAAGTGGTAGATAAAAATAATCCTCAATATTTAAAACATATTATATATTAAAATACTTAAAAATTAGTGAGCTTCTTTGAGAATTGATAATAATAAAATGTGTTGCAAAGCACACGAAGTAAAGCTCAGGAATTGGGCTGTTTTTTTTCACTTTGGTACAGAAGGAGACATCTAATGTAGCTTTTCAAAATAATGGAAGATTTTGAGAGAGAAAAGAGTGAATTCATCAATATGGAAGCATAGACATGGACTGTCCACAAAAAAGCATATTACAAGAATTGATTTCAAATATTAGTAGAAAATTGAATACTTTACCACAAGTGTCTATTGAATTAGTTTATAATGGTTTAAGGAAGAAATTGGTCTGGATGTTTAAAGAAAAATATAAAGGATGCAAATAGGAAAATAGGATTAGAGTAGATAATAACAGCTGAAGTGCCAGCATTGGCACAGTTATACCAAATTTCTAAAATTCTTGCTGAATTTAATTAAGCATTTCAAAGATGATAGAAATCCAAAAAATGAATATTTTTCAGTGAGTGAAAACCCATTTATAGAATGCATAGCACAGAAAGGTGCATTCATCTCACGAGACCTGTGACTTCTCTTTGAAGTGCTATCCAATTAGTTCAACCCTCCGGCTATTTCTCTTTAGCACAACATTTTTTCTACCTCAAGTATTCATCCAATTTCCTTTTCAGAGTTTTTGCTGAATACACTTGAACCATCAACTGGCAGTGCAAGAAGTCTTCAGCGATGTAGCCCACACACAACAAAAACTTCTGCTTGTCTTTGACCCACTTTGCATTTATGGTCAGCACAATCTGTTTGAGTGGTCCTCTAGCAGGCATAGTGAGGAGGCAACCCAACAACCTAAGTGCAGCACAAAGTCATTTATATAACCAATATATTCATAACAAAATTTCACACACGGATCTTTAGATGCCAAATAGATAAATTCATGCATGATATGAATTGCTCCAGTGCAGCATATATAGAAAAAAAGGCTAGGCTTCAAAATTTATGTTGCCATTATAAATAAAATGCCATTTCAACATATGTTATATATCTCCAGAGAAAACATAAATTGTAAAACAAAAATGAATGGAACTATCAGCAGATGCCAGCAACATGACCATTCTGTTGGGAAAACAAATAATACAGTTCTTCAGCTATTTTTATTCCCTCTCACAACTTACACTATTTCTATGGGAATAAAATTCAATTTCAATCAGGGCACAAAAACGTGGTAGTGGTTCAGCTACCTGTCATCCATATAGTCCAATATTAAATTTAATGGAAAGGAAAACTGAGCATGTATTTTTTACTCCTGCAACTTATTCTTAATCCAGTTATCTATTCATTTCAATAGTGCATCAAGTTTCTGGTTTGGTATCTTTGTAACAACCAACAGACTTCTGTTAATCTAAAAATTTCTGTAGTGATAACTGTTTTTAAGTCGAGCAACATGTAGCTTACACACTGGTGAGCCTGATTACCCAATTTGGTTCACGTACCTGGGGACAACAGAATTTTTTCGATCAAAGATATTCCCATCCATTTATAGTGATGCTGGTAGATGAACCACGACTATATATTGTTGAGATCCAGCATACTTCAAACTTCATAGTGCCAGTTTTGAATACATACCTTGTTAAATTTAAAACGTGGTTCCAACCAACCACTGGCAAACTCCATTTCCATAATGTTTAAAATGGCAAGTTAAACTGTTTTATGGCTTTCACATTTAGTCAACTTTTCTATTTTAGGGATAGTGGCATAATGTATGCTTTTGAGTTAAGATGCGAAAGACTGATTTCTCCAGTTAGTTATTTTGTGAAGGTTTCCTGCAATTCTTCCTCCATGATTTGGAGAAATAATCGATTTAGTACATCTGGACTCAGGTAATACAGGTAGTATGCCATATTATGCCAGTCCACTCTTTTGAATAATACTGTGTCGGAAAATGTTGCCAGTATTTAAGCCAGAACTTCATTTTTTAAATGTAATGAGTATTTAAGCTTTGTGGCTGCAACTCAGTATTTTACTGCCTAATCAAAATGTCCACACAGAATACCAGCAACAAAACTTGTCACAGCATCTATGCTCGTAGTGTTCCTTTTAGGAGTCTCAGTTGAAATCTGTCCTGTTATGCAGAATTGCTAATGAAGCATTCATCATCCCTTATTGAATTAACAATAACTTGCAACTATAAGATTCATTTAGAGCTTACAACTTTCAGTCAAACATAACAGATATAAGCAGGTCAGTCAGGTATATATTTGTCAATATGCTAAGAGCTACTAGTGAAGAATACAGTTATTACCAGCTTCCTCTGGTTAAAATCGCTAGTATTGCAAGAAGGGTTGTGTTGTTATGCATTAGGGTGATGCCAAAATGGTTTCCAATTTAAATTCCATTTTTTAAAAAACAGTGTTGATCAAGGTGAAAATGATTAGTGCAAGGAACAGGAACACTTCTGTTGTTTTATCTGACGATATTAACTTTTTAGATCATGTAGCCTGAGCAGAACAAGACAAAGGATCATTCTTTCGGTCTTAGAATGA